AGCGTCATTTTTATTATTTTGGCAAGAACAGGGACAGTTTTGTCTTGACAAGCCATTAAATGAATACCAGCGTGTGTCACATGAAAAACCACTGATCTTTAACCCCGCTCTGTACTTAACCAAGCCTTGAAAATGAATAGTGAATAAAAGAAGAGCAAAGGCAGAGCATATTACAGATTATGGAATCTGTTAACAGTTGCTGAACTGAACCCAGGGAATTACAGGTATTGTTCTGTGAACCAGCAGAAGTTATAGAGATGCTTGTTAAATTGTATACATAAACTATACATTTATTTTATATTTGTGCAGGATTTACATTGTTGGAGACAAAAAAAATCCTACAGTACATTCTCAGTGCAGTAAATGTATGCTTTTATCATAACATCTTATATATTTACATAGAACTCAGTCAGGTTTTTTTTTGCCCCCAATTACAGAACTTATTTTAGCAATGTGCTTTTAAAGAATTTAAGTAGAAAGAAGAAAAAGTATGCAATATCTCTTTCCCCTCAAAGGGAACACCCCACAAACATACACGCAAAACAAAATTCTTTGCCCACTTGCATTTTTATGTATTCACTGTGGCCGATTTGTGTACACCAACATCTGATTTTTTTAAAAAAGAAAATTGAGGGAAAAACCCAAAACCCACCGTAATACTCAAGTATTGAAAAGATCAGTAACATTTTAAATGGTTGTGGGAATTATTGCTTACAGAGCTAACAAGAAAGAACACACTTTTTTACTCTGCTGGTGGAATTGCATTGTGCCTCCCTATAGTCTTGTTATCCCACACTAACTGAAATGCAAATTTTTTGTAACTAATTGGATCTCATTGAGGGTGCATGCACAGTGTGTAGTTATATGCAAAAAGGTTTTAAAAAGTAAAATTTTCCTGCAATTACAACTTTTAATTACTATCTAAACCATGACACCTATAGCACAGGTTTGGAATATATGTCTGACTTTTTTACATATTACACAAAAACATGAGCTATGAAATGCTTAATAAGGTATCAGTTTGAAAGTTACAGGGAAAATGTTTAATTACAGCAATCTATAAATTGAATTTTAACTGTAGTCATGTGAAAATAAAGATTTTTTTTTTAAGTTTAGGATTTAGTATCTTAGAGCCAGTATACAAAATGCATGTTATAGTGCAATCCTTTTCTTGGAAGATTTTAAATGTTAAAACATCGTCAACATCAGAAATCACTTCCAGAACCATTGTCTTTTTTTCCCTTCAGTTCTCCAATATGTTTTACCATTGTAAAATGTTTTTGAGCTTCTTACTGTGTTTAAGTATATTTTTGCTTATGTGTTGTGTCATGGGGTAGGTATTCACATTCCTGCCATGTCTTTAACTTGGATGCAGTGAAACCTAGTTTGGTGGACTTCACAATCGCCATGGTCCCTTTCACACTATCAGTAAATGTGGGAAAGCCAACAGATGGCCTTTAAGTGCTTCTGATTCTTTAACCTGAAATACTTAGAATCAGCAGCAAAAAGCAATTATTGTGGAAGTGATACCTGTCTCCTTCTTTCTAGTTTTAAATAATTTTCATACAAATGATTCCAAAGAGTTATTCCATAGTTGTCAGACTATGTAGCCAGTCAAAAAAACTCAAAAGACATCTTTGTGCCTTGTAGGTGTATTTTTTTGTACCTGTGTTGGTAAAACGATACAGGTGTCCCCCACTTGCTAGATAGAAATAATCCTGACATCAAAGGTTCTACACATTATATTATATGTAGAAGTTCAGATCATGTATCTTGAGGATTTATAGAGCGGTCAAATGTTTTCTTCAAAAATTTAGTAAAAAATGAGTGTTAGAGAAACGTACAATCTTTTTATTTATTTATTATTGAGTTTGGATTGATTGTTGTCTCTTTTTGTGACAAAGCTTGTCCTCTTTGTAAAGTTGTGTTACGAAGTAGTTAAGATTTTGTTTGAGCAAATTCATTTAGCAGATGCAGTTTTGTATATTTGCTATGAAAAATATTTTTTAAACCTTACAAAGCTATCCTGGTGTTTTAAGGCTTGTGTTGTGGCAATAACATGTTATATTGCAGACCTGTTTCAGTCAGAGACACCTGAGTCCTTGGTGTCTGGAAGAGCTCAGTTTGCCTATACTGGGTAGCATTTTGTCAGAAGACTGCTGGCTGGGCAGACTAGATTTGGATGTATTAGCTAGTCAGCCTAATAACCCTGTACAGACTGTATTGATTTTCTAGGAGAGAGTTTATGAACTAAATAAACTTGGGGTTGGTGTCTTAATAAACTGCTTCTCTCAGTCTGTCACACTTAGTTACGGAGCTGTGCAGTTTAGGGGGAAAAAAGGCTAATTCTGTTACAGATTGTTCACAGCAGGGTCTCCAAATTAGCCCTTTGTTTTGTAATGCCACCTTGCTTGGGCTCGCTTTGAGCACATTTCTCAGTTTTGCCCTAATGAGTTGCAACACTGATAATGTGGCTGATGATCTTTCATTGATTTCACTATCACTTGCTTGTCTGGTAATTGATCCGTTGCTGAGCCTCTAGTTAATTATATCGGCTTTGACATGGCCCGGTCCACGGGGAATTTCAAGTCTTGCAGAATAACAGTTTTAATAAAAGAGTCTATTACTGCAGGTGCTTGCTGCTGCATGCCAGTTGATTTTTGTGTTGTTAGTGTGTGTGTGGAGTGGGGGGTAGGATACCTGGGAAAGAAGAGGACTGCAGGGACTGATAGAAAAAAGGGGTAGGGGCTGGAAAAAGAGGAAGAGGGAGTGAAGGAGGGGAAGAAAGAGACAAGGAGAGGGAGAGGCGAGAGAGAACACAGGCAAAAACACACAGGCAAAGCGATACAACAGAGCCTGAGTGGAAGGAGGAGGAAGCTTGCTATTGACAGTGTCCTTAAGCCTCCCACAAATAACAGCCATTAGTGGGAAGGTCAGGAGCTGAGCAGGCAGCTTGACTGAGGCACTGAGTGCCACTTCAGAAATCAAGAGGCTAGCAAATTTTAGAGGGAGTTTAAGTGGGTAATAGCTAGCAGTAAAGGTACAGTCACTGTTGACAATTGACTTGTAGGGGTTTTTCCTGCCCTCCCCGCAGCAAGAATATTTTTATTGACCACAGGTGGACTTAATATATTTTAAGGCAACAATTCTTTGGGTTCTGGTTTGTTTCCTCTCAGATATTGAATTTGCTTCTTTTGAGACTTTTTTGTGCTTAATGGTGGTGAACTGGAGGGAAGTTTAACAGAAAAGCTTTCAGGAGATGTCGGTTCTAGAGGGGAAGGCACATTTGTGTCAACATAGTGTACGTTTTCTCATCTTTTCTCATTGTCCACTAATGACACAGAGCTGCCATTGAAGCTCTTTTCTGTTTCTTTTGTTGTTTCAGAGAGTAAGGTTTATTGTTATTCTTGAGTTAAGAAGGAGCAAGGAGAGTGGTACATTTGTCCTCGATATTTGTAGGTGGTTGAAGATTAATGTTCCTTACATTTTAAGTTTAGGAAGGATGGCTTTTTCCTGCTGACTACTTTTATGAGATGGCATGAATTTAGCTTTCCATTTTGAAGTTACTGTTTATGTACAGTGCATTTTGTTCAGTGCTGCTTTTCCATAAATAAGGCAGACAAATACTTATCTAATAAATAGATGAATAGTTTTAAAACTTGTTTAATTAAAAATACGACATGTTATCAAGGCTGTATCTCATCAGGCAGGAAAACGTTATAGAATTTTCCACAGAGATCTTGAATGAAAAATGGAGTTTTAATTTTCATTACTTTTTGCCTGACATGGGACAGGCCTTTTTTCTTCATCTTTTTCATTTGTTGTGATTTGAAAGGATATTGCAGATGCTTCATCCAGGAACTTTAACAAAGGATTTTTTTTTCCTACTTTTGAGCTTTAAGAAAAGGTATACTTTTTGCCATTCAGTTTCTCATTACTTAACATTCAGTTTAGTAATTACTAGCCTGAGGCACTAGATATTAAATAGTATATATTTATATTTAGTGAATGTTTATTGTGTATCTTCTATGTTACAAAAACTGCTAGGCTTATTTATTTACTCTTCAGAGTATAAGGTCACGGCTCTATGGATGTTATTTAGGAGTTTCTATGTGGTTATAAATAGCCCAGCACCTACAATATGACTTTCAGGAGCTAACATTTAGACCATAACCGAGCCAATGTTACATTCTTTTACAGCTGAATATTTTATTTTCTTCAGTGTAATTAAAAAAATATTTAAGTATCACATTCACAGTTTTACAAATGTTAAAGCAAAGACTGGTGTCAGATATTACGTGTTATATCAGAAAGCATTGTTGAGAAAAATTCCCAGGGAAGGGCCCTAGCTTCTCCTCACCCTGTGCACCGTGATTGTGGTGCTGCCTGGAGTGTGCATAAGTGTGTATCTATCTGTATATCTGGAGAGGGGTTAGTGCAGGGTGTCATTTGGTGCCTGACAGTGGAACAGTGCAGTTGACTCTTAGCTCTGTTATCCAATGACATGCAGTGGCTGAGAGTTTGAAGCTGATGGTTGGGTCTCCAGTGCTGCCCGCACACCTGACAGGCAGCTGTTAAACTGAGCAAAGGCAAGCTTGGGGAGTCACAATCTATGCATAAATGATAGGGATATCTGTGCAGAAGGTGCGAAAGAAGCTCTGACCCCCTCCCTCCCCCAAATCTCCCCCTTCCCAAATGAAATGCACAGTTCAGCCAGCTTCTTAACTACACTACACTCCTGCTACTGGCTGCCAAGAGGCTCAAAAAATCCACCTTCACTTTTCAGTCAGAAGAGGCAGAAGTGGATGTGAGAGAAAGAGAGACACAGAGAGACAGAGAGCCAAAGAGGGCAAGAGACTTGACTTTAAGAGACTCCTGTACTGACAACTCCATGCAGTTCGGAACCAGAACGACTACCGCTGAACCAGGGTTCATGGGGACATGGCAAAACGCTGATACTAACCTCTTATTCAGAATGTCCCAACAGGTAAGTTACTTACTTTCTTTTTTTTTTTTTTAAGAAACCTTAAATTGTTATGGGCACTTTTGTTTCTGGTGTTTTTCTTTCTAAATATTTTTTAAAATGTGGTCACTTCCTAGTTAGGCTCTGTTTTGTCATAATTGTGTTACTGGAATGTGCAGGGTTACTTCATGGTTTCCCTAAGGGCGTCTTAAAAGAAAAAGAAAAAAGGATACTGAAGTAAAAGAAAGCAGAGACATTTTTGAAAAGTTTCACAGTACAGCCTGGGTCAGGGGAAGACAATTTATTTCTTTGTTTTCTGTTAAGAATAAAAAAAGCCACCACCCAACAAACGTATCTGTCAATATGAATCACTTCGTCAAAGTGTCTGCTGTCTCGGAGTAGGTTCTGCAACCTGAAACACAGTCATAAAATCTAGGGGCCCCTTAGAACAGCCCTGCTGACTTCATGTGGCTGGAAGCAGCTCCGTTCAGACCTGAGAAGAGAGAGGAGGCTGTGCAGGCTCCAGCTGCCAGCGCCGAGGGTCGCTGGAGGAGTCGGCGTGCGTGGCGGGCTGTGCCGCTTGGTCCTCGCTCCTCAGCTCTGCTCCTCAGCTCTGCTCCGCTCCTCCTCGCCAGCCGGCCCTCTGCGCCCGCCCCTGCGTTCCCTTCGCCGGCTCCGGCCCACTCGCCCGCCCGCCCGGCCGCCCGCCCGCGCACTCACTCGGGCGCAGCCTCGGCGTCTTCCCCAGAGCCGCTCCTCCGTCCCGGCTGCGCTGGAGGCGCTCGGCTTGCTGGCTTTGCTGGGAAAGCCGACGTGGTGAGCGAGGCCATCGGTTACTGATAATTAATCACCGGAGCCGACGGCTCGTACCATGCGCTCCGTGATACGCGCCCTGCGCGCGGGGCTCCTCTTGCACAATTGCTGGCTCCTTGGCTCCGCGGGGGAGCGAGGGTGAGAGGAAAGGAAGGGGACACAACCCAGAAACTTTAATCTTGGATTGTGCTCAAGTGAGGGAGGGAAGTTCCCTGGTGCCTCCCTCCTATACACGTCTTGCTTTTCAAAAGCCTGCACCAAACCCACACAAAGCAAGTTAGTTGGGTATTATCATCCACACAGCACGAAAGTACTATTGACAAATATACTTGGATTTTAAGTTGATGGCAAGTGTTAAGAAATTGATACTGTGCCACTCATGAGGAAGAAAATACTGCAGCTGCTTTCCTTCTTTATTTTTCTTTCTTTTTTTAAATAAAAAAACAAACCCTTTTGTTCGTAAGAGTTCATGAAAATTAAATACTTAAAGTTAGATTTTTAAAGTTGTTGATAATAAAAGGAAACAATTTGCCAGACTATAAACTACTACAAGTTTTAGAAATACATTTGCAAGAGATAATACCTACAACCAGGGTTCTGTAGCATTTAGCTAGAGAACAGTTTTAGCACATAATTCTAGATAGGATAAATGCATTTGAATAAGGTGTATTTTGACATATCCTGTAGAGGGACCCTGATTACTGCTGATACAGTAAGCTGGGATTTAAATGCAATCAACATAAACTCAATAAGTAACTCTTCATGTGCAATTTCCCATTCTTTTAAAGTGAAAAGTTGATTTCCACACAGAGATGCTCCTTGTCACTGCAGAGTGCTATGAGGTGTTTACCGCGACACGTCCCTGCCTGGGTGGCTCTCTCGTAGTTGGAATGCAGAGTGTTTTCGCTAATCTTAGTACCAAATAACTTGTGCCTCATTTTAAAAATTAGGTGTCATCTTCAGGGGTTTCCTTGAGTTAGTGGAGATCGTGTGTGTGTGTGTGTGTGTGTTAGAAGGGAAGATTGGCTTAGATCTTCCTCTAGCTAGAAAAGAGTTAATAAAACCAGATAGAGATAATGATCAATTGATAAATGGCTATTGAACCACATAGATGGTGTTAGATTGCTTATTTGGCACTAGCCCATTTCCAAGTAGATGTGAATCTAAAGAGATTTTGTCATGGAAAACATTTTACCTAAAAAACAAAGTAAATAATATAAATGATGGGTCAGAATTAGGAAAATTTATGATGTCTTTGATCCAGCTGTCTGACTGCGTGCATATTTTGTGTGTACCTGTGTGTCCATGCATGTGTAATGGTGAGCATCAGAGACTACAGGGAGAGAATAGAAATATAGGGAAGTAATTTATGCTTAATGGGTGCTATTAAAACTGCATAATATTAATTATGCTATTTATAAATTATAGTACAACAAAGGGAGAGAAATCTCAGTTTTAAATGTTTTTAAATGTTTTCTTTATTTTTTGGTTTTTGATATAGTTAGCAATCACTCCTACCTACCCACCCAACCCCGGCATTTTCTGTCATGGTCACTAAATGTTTACCTCTTGTGCAGTTTTGGAAATCATATAAAAGACAGTATGAGCTTACATTATTTTTCTCGTCAAGATGACAGTTTGTATAAATATTACATGAACTTAAGTTCAAACTATGTGAGTAAAAGTATGTGTGCTGTTCATAGTTAATACGTTTGTTTTTCTTACCTATACTTCATCAGCAATGCTGATTCAGCACGTGAGAGAGAGAGAGAGAGAGAGAGAGAGAGAGAGGGACTTATTGAAATTATATCTCTGATATCTGTTGAAGCCAGCTGTTTCAAGTATTACTTTCAATATATACGGTTAAGCCTGCTTTTGTTACAGGTAAAAGTTTGTCCAGTTTAATGAAATATGTAGAATTCTGTATATCTTATTTCTAAGGCATAAAGAGGTTTCTCTAGATTATGATTTTAATTTCTAAGTAAAATTTACTTAGCTTGTGAAATGAATACAGTTTATTGGGTTTTTTTTAAAAGTTTTCTTAAATAGTATAAAAAACGAATACTTTCTCGATTATTTTTTTAGACATTAGAAAAGTCTGACCAGTAGGGCTGCTATAAAAGGTTTCAAAGCTGAGTTGTAGGTAATACACCACCAGTATTTAACTATAGAAAAACTTGTGGGAAATGTCTCATGAATATTGACATTTAATAATCTAGTTTTGTGTGTTCTATAAGTAAAGTAGGAAGAAGGGAGACAGAAATCTTTGTCTTTTGTTTCACATGAGCAAAGCTGGATCTGCTTACATGTAAATCTTTCTATCTAGTGGTTACAAACATCACAATCTGAAGCCAATTTAGATTTAGTGGGATTAAGTATGTACCCCTAAAGTTCAAGTTAAGACTATTGACTGCATTTTCCTCTGCCTATACAGTTTTTCTTCTATATTGAAGTATGATTTTCTCAAATTATTTCTATGTATATAGATGAATATTTGAGAACCGTAAAGGGTATGACACTTGTGTAAAGGGAGTTCTTCTTTGGGTCAGTTTGTCAGTGGCAGGTGAAGAATGAACCTTATTTTGCCTGTTTTAGTTTCATGAGGTATTGTTAAAAGCAAAAAATAAGGCTTGCTTTTCGAAGTTGTTTTTAAAAAAATCATACTTTAAGAGGTAATTCTTCTATTTTTATAAATATTTTGTGCATTTGAGAGAATAGTAAGTAAAATTCTTGTATCTATCTCAAGGGATGTAGTAGTCCAGTCTATTTAAAAATCTTTTCAGAAAGGAAACCATAAAGGTAAATAGCTACAGCCACATTTCATGTGTTACTAGAGGCATTTACCTTTTATTATTGGTGAGGTATATTTAACCTGTTTCAAATAAAATGCAGATCCCTTAATAAGGTCTCTTTTCATACTTGAGTGAAATACTAAGTTAGAATTATAAATGACTGTGCATCATTATGTAGTAATTTAGGATTCACCCGATGATGTAACAAAATTAACGACATAATTTCATTGTGAAACTGTGTCTTATTTAAGAACAACTGTCTGACATTCCCTTACAGTTGCTTTATTTAACTTCATGCAAATATTATTAGTAGTGACATTTTTCTATTGTGCATTAGAGTCTCTCATTAGCATGATGTGTTAGTTATCACCAGAGAAATCATTTTCTAGATAGGTGAGGGGCAAACCAAGAAAACTAAAAATTAAATCAACGATTTACATTAAAATCAGAGCATCTGCTCACCAGAGATACGACAGAGTAAAAGCAAACTTTTGTTACTAATATAAAAATCTAGCACCTTTCAGAGAAATGATAAATAAAATATAAGAAATGTGTAATAACATTGCTAGAATCCATTTAAAAGAGTGCTCAGTATGAATTTTCTTTAAGAAATCTTTTCTTCCTATTTATATAGGCCACCAATCTCAGTTTCTGGAATCTATATTTTTAAATTAAAATGGTTTTGTTCCTCCCCCTCCCCCCCCACTTTTTAAACTATTTATTTACTAATGATTTAAAAGGCATATATATAATATTATGAGTCAGACGCCTAATTGTACAATCTGGATTGAGTCTTCTTTATAGTTATACAACACATTTTTATTCTAAACTCTATCCCACTCAAATAGACATCCTTTTTTCATAGGATGCATATTCTTATTTAATCAAAGCCCTGTGTAAAGCAGTTGATAGTTAATGGTCTTTGAAAATGACTTTCATTGCGAGGCGTCATCCATCCCTAGTTTTCTTTCTGCACTTTTCTCCCTTTTTACTCCCTTCCTTACAGTTAGTATGTTTGGGTGATCTTGTCTTACCAAAAAGGGATTAAATTGACTAAACTTGTGGTCTTAATGCTAAAATAAATATTTATATTATATTAAGAGGCATGCAGTTTTAGCCTGTTGAATTACTAGGTTACTACCTCCAATTTAGGCCCCTCTTAATTTGAGTAGTAATGTGTTTTATTTTTAACAATAGACATATATTCAAATATAATTCTCAGTACATTTTCTGATAATGAAACACTAAAATAGGAATATTTGGGTGTTTGTATTTGTTAAGATACAAATTGTAGCATAGAGACAGGTGCTTGGTTTTGTCCTAAACTTTGAAGATACATGGATAACATGCAGACATCACATAAGAGGTACTGTCTCATTTGTAATACAGTGGGAAAGTAATAGTTCACAAATATGGTATTCCATGTGGATGTAAACATTAATGCAAATAAAGCATGGACAAACATATGCTCAGATGTGTATTTTGTACATGTTAAAACCCTGTGCACAAATTTCGAGTTTATTTTCAACATGATTCATTTAAATGAATTTGAACATAGTAGGTAATCATTTTGAAATTATTTAATTTTCTCACCTTTCTGTCATCTGCAAACAGGTCCATTATGTTTGTGTAATTTGTAAAGCCTTTTGCTAAGGTGAGCCAAGTAACCGCGGTTGAAAAATAAATCCCTCTAAGGTGTAGATATCTTATCTATAATTGTAGGTATTTTTAATAATTATATTTATGAGTGCATATTCACATTCACTGATAAATCCAATTATTCATACATAGCTTTATGGAAATCTGATTAATGCAGTGGCAGGACAGATTTGGGCTACCACAGCAGCACATCCTCCCACTCCTGTGTCAGGGTTAAGAGCTGCGGCAAATCCTCCCTAACTAATTAGATGCTGAATAAGGCATCTCTGAGAAGTTAGGGCAGAAGTGAATGGGTCACAACCAAGGCAGGATTGCAAGGACTCCAGTGATAGTGAAAGCATTCAAGTTTGCCAGGTCGTTGTGACACAGAGAGCTGATTCCAAGGGAACAGTCCGTTACAGATAGTGAGCTGGCGTCATCCACTTGAATGAAAAACACAAATTCTAGTGCCTCCCTCTCTCTACCTTGTATGCATTACACACACTCACTTAAAGTTGCACCATTATCTATCTGCAAAGCTTTTGAGAGGATTTTCCTTATAAACGTGAATAGCTAATGATTCTGTATAGCCCAAGAGGTATTTTCTGAACTTGGCACTCTAGATTAGCACATATATCAAAAGGGAAGAGGAAAATAAATTGGAATTTGCTTTTACCTTGTGTCCATAATTTGAACCATAGTGTTTGAATCGATCTAGGAATTAACTCCTTTTTCCCCACAGACTGTCAGAGAACTTTGCGGTTGTAGACAAAACAGAGTGAATTTGGTGGGGTGACTTTTTCAGTGAGAGAAAT